CCGCGAGGTCCCGAGGTGATCCGCGTTGGGCGTACCTCCGCTGGGCCTCCCAGGAGCCCACGAAAAGGGCGACAATGGCGCAGATCGCAGCCCCCCCGTGCGCCGCGAGGTCCCGAGGTGAGCCGCGTTGGGCGTACCTCCGCTGGGCCTCCCAAAAGCCCACGAAAGTGGCGACAATGGCGCAGATCGCAGCCCCCCAGGGCGCCGCGAGGTCCCGAGGTGATCCGCGTTGGGCGTACCTCCGCTGGGCATCCAAGGAGGCCACGAACGTGGCGACAAATGCGCAGATCGCAACCCCCCAGGGCGCCGTTGGGCGTACCTCCGCTGGGCCTCCCAGGAGCCCACGAACGTGGCGACAATGGCGCAGATCGCAGCCCCCCAGGGCGCCGCGAGGTCCCGAGGTGATCCGCGTTGGACGTACCTCCGCTGGGTCCCCCAGGAGGCCACGAACGTGGCGTCAATTGCGCAGATCGCAGCCCCCCAAGGCGCCGCGAGGTCCCAAGGTGATCCGCGTTGGGCGTACCTCCGCTGGGCCTCCCAGGAGCCCACGAAAGTGGCGACAATGGCGCAGATCGCAGCCCCCCAGGGCGCCGCGAGGTCCCGAGGTGAGCCGCGTTGGGCGTACCTCCGCTGGGCCTCCCAGGAGGCCACGAAAGTGGCGACACATGCGCAGATCGCAACCCCCCAAGGCGCCGCGAGGTCCCGAGGTGATCCGCGTTGAGCGTACCTCCGCTGGGCCTCCCAGGAGCCAACGAAAGTGGCAACATTTACGCAGATCGCAGCCCCCCAGGCGCCGCGAGGTCCCGAGGTGAGCCGCGTTGGGCGTACCTCCGCTGGGCCTCCCAGGAGCCCACGAAAGTGGCGACAATGGCGCAGATCGCAACCCCCCAAGGCGCCGCGAGATCCCGAGGTGATCCGCGTTGGGCGGGCCTCCCAGGAGCCCACGAAAGTGGCGACAATTGCGCAGATCGCAGCCCCCTCAGGGCGCCGTTGGGCGTACCTCCGCTGGGCCTCCCAGGAGCCCACGAAAATGGCGACAATGGCGCAGATCGCAGCCCCCAAGGGCGCCGCGAGGTCCCGAGGTGATCCGCGTTCGGCGTACCTCCGCTGGGCCTCCCAGGAGGAGCCCACGAAAATGGCGACAATTGCGCAGATCGCAGCCCCCCAAGGCGCCGCGAGGTCCCGAGGTGATCCGCGTTTGGCGTACCTCCGCTGGGCCTCCCAGGAGCCCACGAAAGTGGCGACAATGGCGCAGATCGCAGCCCCCCAGGGCGCCGCGAGGCCCCGAGGTGATCCGCGTTGGGCGTACCTCCGCTGGGCCTCCCAGGAGCCCGCCAAAGTGGCGACATTTGCGCAGATCGCAGCGCCGCGAGGTCCCGAGGTGATCCGCGTTGGGCGTACCTCCGCTGGGCCTCCCGGGAGCTCACGAAAGAGGCGACAATGGCGCAGATCGCAGCCCCCCAGAGCGCCGCGAGGTCCCGAGGTGATCCGCGTTGGACGCACCTCCGCTGGGCCTCCCAGGAGCCCACGAAAGTGGCGACAATTGCACAGATCGCAGCCCACCAAGGCGCCGCGAGGTCCCAAGGTGATCCGCGTTGGACGTACCTCCGCTGGGCCTCCCAGGAGCCCACGAAAGTGGCGACAATGGCGCAGATCGCGGCCGCCGCGAGGTCCCGAGGTGATCCGCGTTGGGCGTACCTCCGCTGGGCCTCCCAGGAGACCACGAAAGTGGCGACAATTGCGCAGATCGCAGCCCCCCAGGGCGCCGCGAGGTCCCGAGGTGATCCGCGTTTGGACGTACCTCCGCTGGGCCTCCCAGGAGCCCACGAAAGTGGCGACGAATGAGCAGATCGCCCCCCCAGGGCGCCGCGAGGTCCCGAGGTGATCCGCGTTGGGCGTACCTCCGCTGGGCCTCCCAGGAGCCCACGAAAGTGGCGACAATGGCGCAGATCGCAGCCCCCCAGGGCGCCGCGAGGTCCCGAGGTGATCCGCGTTGGGCGTACCTCCGCTGGGCCTCCCAGGAGCCCACGAAAGTGGCGACAATGGCGCAGATCGCAGCCCCCCAGGGCGCCGCGAGGTGCCGAGGTGATCTGCGTTGGGCGTACCTCCGCTGGGCCTCCCAGGAGCCCACGAAAATGGCGACAATGGCGCAGATCGCAGCCCGACGGCACGAGAGAAGAGGAGAGGGGAACACAGGAAACATGAGAGGAGGAAGGGAGGAGGGGGGAGGAGGAGGAGGCCGGGGCGACCACACTGCTCTATTCAAAACGAGTACCCAACCATAGGAGGGTTGGGAAAAACATCTTCCCCTTCGGGGAGGGGTTCATCACTATTCCCTATTAACGTACACCCCCTCCCCTAGGCGACTGGGAGCCAACCCGAGTCAATGAGGGCCCCCCCCCACCATCCATTGTAAACAAACAGGACAAAACACACTCTGCCTCCAAATTCGGAGCACGCGCAGCGAACCCGATGCGGCCTCCCCCCACCACCCGTCAAAAAATTACTCACTGCGTGGAGCTCCCCATATGTGCATCCTTTTGTAAAGGTAATATTGTATATGGGTCTACAGGAACACACGTAAAACACCAAGGACTCGTGCCCCAGGAGAGGCCCAATATATAGGAACAACAGTAAAACAAGTAGGACTGCTTACACAGGAGAAGGACAATATATAGAAACATACGTAGAACATCAAAGAATCGTGCTCCAGGTGAGGCCCAATCGATAGGAGCATACGTAAAACACATGGGATTGGAGCCACTGCTGTTGCCTTCTGAGGCCTCCTGCTCCTGGGGCCTCTCGGGGCCTCCTGTTGCCTTCCGAGGCCTCCTGGCACTTCCTGTTGCCTCCTGGGGCCACCTGTGGTTTCCGGAGGCCTTCTGGAGCTTCCTGGGGCCTCCTGGAGCCTCTTGGGACATCCTGTGGCCTCTTGAATCTTTCTGTGGCCTCCTGATGCCTCCTGGGACCTCATGTGGTCTCCTGGGGCCTCCTGGAGCCTGTTGGAGCCTCCTGTGGCATCCTGAGAAGAATCTGCGCCCACGAGCCTGGCCACCAAAACAAGCAAACCGATCGAGACATCCTCAAAATCTGGCCCACCTGGGGGTGAAAATGAGCGCCTCGCTCGAGACATCCTCCAAATCTGCTCCGAAAGCGAAGGATGTTGAGCCCAGAAACAAGCAAACCGCCTGAGACATCCCCACAAAATGGCCGCGAACGAGCCCGTGCAAACACCCCTGGCGGCTCCCCTTAGGGCCACGAGCCTGGCCACCAAAACAAGCAAACCGATCGAGACATCCTCAAAATCTGGCCCACCTGGGGGGTGAAAATGAGCGCCTCGCTCGAGACATCCTCCAAATCTGCTCCGAAAGCGAAGGATGTTGAGCCCAGAAACAAGCAAACCGCCTGAGACATCCCCACAAAATGGCCGCGAACGAGCCCGTGCAACCACCCCTGGCGGCTCCCCTTAGGGCCACGAGCCTGGCCACCAAAACAAGCAAACCGATTGAGACATCCTCAAAATCTGGCCCACCTGGAGGGTGAAAATGAGCGCCTCGCTCGAGACATCCTCCAAATCTGCTCCGAAAGCGAAGGATGTTGGGCCCAGAAACAAGCAAACCGCCTGAGACATCCCCACAAAATGGCCGCGAACGAGCCCGTGCAACCACCCCTGGCGGCTCCCCTTAGGGGTGCTGAAATGAGCGCCTCGCTCGAGACATCCTCCAAATCTGCTCCGAAAGCGAAGGATGTTGGGCACAGAAACAGGCAAACCGCCTGAGACATCCCCACAAAATGGCCGCGAACGAGCCCGTGCAACCACCCCTGGCGGCTCCCCTTAGGGGTGCTGAGTATCTGATGTGTGTTGAGTAAGTCTGAGTATGAGTAGGTCTGAGTATGAGTATGCCTGAGTATGAGTAAGTCTGTGTATGAGTAAGTCTGTGTATGAGTAAGTCTGGGTATGAGTAGGTCTGTGTATGAGAAAGTTCTGAGTATGAGTAAGTCTGAGTATGAGGAGGGGAGGAGGAAAGAGGAGGAAGGAGGAGGAGTAGGAGGCGTCCAAGTAATAACAAGAACCCCATCTTAGGATATGGGGAACAATACAGAGTACACTTGGCGGCGGCGGCGGCGGCTGCGGCGGGGGCAGCGGCTGCGGCGGCTGCGGCGGTGGCGGCGGCGGCGGCGGCGGCGGCGGTGGCGCCAGCGGCGCGGCAGCGGCGGCGGCAGCGACTGCGGCGGCAGCGGCTGCGGCGGCGGCGATTCGGCAGCGGGGGCGGCGGCGGCGGCGGCGGCGGCGGGCGGCGGCGGCGGCGGCGCGGCTCCCTGCGTTCCCATGACTTGGAGTGGGGCTGTCTTTCGGCCTTCGAGTAAGACTTGCTTTCGTGCTCGTGTTGTGCACGCTTCCCACTGCATTGCGTCTTGGCCTGATGAGCAGTTGTTGTGGTGTCTTGTCTGTGGGTGCTGCGCCAGTGATGCTCTCAGGGAGTTCGCGTCTCCGTGCTCTAGTCGCTTATCTGGAGCTGGGTCCCACAACCTAAGACGCAGAAGCAAGGGGCTTGTGCCAGGCAGTAGATCGTGGTGGAAGGAGCGGAGAGAGCGGAGGGAGCGAGGGTTGAGGGGTGAGAGAGCGGCGAGTGCGGCGCCCGCGCCGCGCGGCGCGGCGGCCGTCCTGGACAAGGAGGTCGCCGTCAAGCGCCGCCCTGCTTCTCTCCCCCCGCCCGTGCCCCCGCCACCGCCTCCCCCCTCCTGGTTTGTCGCCACTGGTCATCGTGACCGCTCCTTATATATATATATATATATATATATATATATATATGTATATATATATGCTCCTCGTCCTCCTCGTCCTCCTCGTCCTCCTCCTGCTCCTCGTCCTCCCCCTCCTCCTCCTGCTCCCCCTCCTCCTCCTGCTCCTCCTCCTCCTCCTCCTCCTCGTCCTCGTCCTCATCCTCGTCCTCGTCCTCGTCCTCCTCCTCTTCTTCTTCCTCCTCCTCCTCCTCCTCCTTCTCCCCCTCCTCCTTGGAGCAGCAGCAGCGGCCGCTGCCGCGCGCCCCGCTCAGCTCCGGCCCAGCAGGGCCGCCCCGCACGCCGGGCAGAACTGGAAGGCCGGCTGGGCGGCGGCTCAAAGGCGGAGGAACAGCAAAAGGGCACGGAGCAAGACGACGAGCGGGAACAGCAGCAACGCAAGGAGGAGCGGAGAAGGCGGAGATGGGGCACCGCTCCTCCTCTTCCTCCTCCTCCTCCTCCTCCTCCTCGTCTTCGTCATCCTCTTCCTCCTCCTCCTCTTCCTCCTCCTCCTTCTCCTCCGCTTCCTCCTCCTCCTCCTCCTCCTCCTCCTTCTCCTCCTACCGCTCCTCCTCCTCCTCCTCCTCATTCTCCTCTTCCTCCTCCTCCTTTTCCTCGTCCTCCTCGCTCTCCTCCTCCTCCTCCTCCTCCTCCTTCTCCTCCTCCTCCTCCTCCTCCTCCTCCTCCTCATCCTCTTCATCCTCATCCTCATCTTCATCACCACCACCACCATCAACATCATCAACACCATCACCATCAACATCACCATCATCAGCATCATCAGCGTCCTCGTCGTCGTCATCGTCATCATCATCAGCAGCAGCATCCTTATCAACATCATCATCATCACCACCACCATCATCATCATCAACATCACCACCATCATCATCATCATCATCAGTATCATCAGTATCATCATCATCATCATCATCGTCATCATCATCATCGCCATCATCATCGTGATCATCATCATCGCCATCATCAGTATCATCATCCTGATCATCATCATCACCATCATCATAATCATCCTCTGCCTCATCGCCATCATCGCCAACCACCACCACCATCATCATCATCATCATCATCATCATCATCATCATCATCATTATCAACATCACCATCACCGGCACCAACCACCACCACCACCACCTTCACCATCACCGTCACCATCATCATCATCAACAACAACATCATCATCACCATCACCATCACCATCACCATCACCACCACCATCACCACCATCATCATCATCATCATCATCATCATCATCATCATCATCAACGTCATCATCATGACAGCTCCTTTATGCTAGCAGTCAGGGTGTGAGGACGGTGGGTGGCGGAGGACGCCACGGGAACGCAGGACGGGCAGAGAACATTAACTACATGCCAAGGAACAAGATTGAACAAGAAAAAAGACGGTGGTGGGGATGGCTGGATGGCGCGCCTTGAGCACCCGAACGGCGGCGACAATGCGCAAATGAAAACCGTGAAATCACAAATATCATGGCAGTTCCTTTATGCCAGCAGTCAGGGTGTGAGGACAGGCTGCATTGGGTGGCGGAGGACGCCACGGAAACGCAGGACGGACAGAAAACATTAACTACATGCCAAATCTGCAGGCATGCTTGCAAGCTGGTATCGCCGAAAATTAGAGATGGTCTGAGCAGAGGCAGCGATTCTCGCAACGTGCGCGTTGTAATACGTAGCCCCCGCAGTTGCGGATAAGCGTGAGGGGGGGGCGGGGACGTCGGCAGTTGAAGAAGCCCGCCGCAAGAACAACATTTTTCAAGTTATACAACGAGCCCGTCGCAGGCGCCGATTTTGTTAAAACAATGTAGGTGGGTCGCAGGTCGGGTCGCACGTGGGTTGCGGGTGGGTCGACGGTGGGTCGCGGGTGGGTTGCGGGCCGGGTCGCGGGTGGGGTTGGATCGTTGGTGGGTCGCGGTTGGGTCGCGGGGTGGGTCGCGGGTGGGTCGCGAGGGTGGTCGCGGGCGGGTCGCAAGGGGGGCGACGACAACAACAACAACAACAACAATCATTTTACCCGAACGCTCAGTGTTCTCCCCAGTGCCAGGGTTTTCTTGCGACACCAGCCAATACCCCCACTTCGTGGGGGGGCCGTTCAAGCTCTACCAAATATCAAAACGACTCTTCGAGACCACCCACACCCAGCTTCCCGCCCTATGACGTTGGGACACTTCACTTCGTGGCGTGCGGACGACCCTGGCTACTACACTGGCGTGGGGTACACACCCACAGAGGTTGATCACATCTGTTACATATGATGTGGTACACGGTACACGGGAGATGGTACGCAGTGCCAAGATAAAAAACCATTGGGTTTTTGATGTTTTTAAGTTAAAATCGCTACGAAACCTAAGGTTTTGGAAGGATTTCGTCTTGCGAGCGCGAATGTCCACTTTACCTTATTTTTTGCAAGGGATTCTTGAAATTTGATCAACTAAGAACAAGAATTTTCATTTTCTATTGTTTTTTGCAAGGGAAAACGAGCGTCAACAAAAAACCGGATCCGGGGGTAATCCACTTTTCTGAATCTTTCGCAGAAAAATGATGAAAATGTAGCTGCGGCCTAGGTTTTGGGCGGGGGGCGTGCACCAGGGGGTCCAACAATAATAATTCTTTAGAAGTAATAGTGTTCAACAACAACAACAAGCATAATCCTCACCACGGATCCGCACTTCAGCCACGCACCCAGGGACAATGAATGACCCTTCGGCCTCCTCAGTCCGATAATCGGGTCATGGCTTTGCAAAACCTGGGCGAACAGACGGCAGCAGCGGCAGTGGCAGAAGACCCGTCAGGCCTCTTGCCGCAGAGGATCATGGGGCTTGCCTGAGTCAGCGCAGACCCCTCGCCGCGAGCCCATGCGCTTCGAGCCTCGCCGAGAAGTAGCATCCAACAACCCCGGAAGGAGGCCAGTGTCCCTTCGGCCTGGCGTACCCCGCATACGCATCGATGTGACGACGAATTCAACGGCGCGACGGCGCGACAGGTGCTTAAAATCGGGCGAAAGCCAGAGCCTGGATGTTTTGGGGTTCTCCACGGACCACGGGACTCCAGAGGCTAAAGAGGCCCCCAAGCAAGGGCAGCAAGAGGCTAAAGAGGCCTGCAATTTTAACGAGGGGTTGGGAGTCAAAAGAAGTGCTCGTCTGATCGCACCGCAGGGGGCCAACGCCATAGCCCATCGCTCGCGCGAGGGTCAAACCTGCCCGGGGCCACGGCATGCTTCTGAGACGATTCTCTGAGCAAGTCAGATCGCACTGTTCGCCGAGCGACAGGTCCCAAACAAGGGCCCAGAAGCCCACGGCGCCAGCAGCACGGGCAAAACCTCCGTGCCCTGAGAACAGCTCGAGCATCACTGGGGCCTTCAGGCTGGCCGCGGCAAAGGAAAGGGCACCTTGAACACGGGGTGGCACAATCTCTCCGCGCGCGCGCCTCCATGCCGCTGGAAGCCGAAGGGAAGCCGATGCAGAGCCTGGGTGAGACGGCTTCCCTTCTCGTAGCGGCGCGCGCTGCTCCATGTCCGCCATCGGCCGCGGCGGCGCATTTCTTCCAGGGCCCGGCAGGGGGCGGCTGAGTCGTGCGACGGCCTGGCACGACGAAGCTGGTAGAGGTGGATCGCCCCGATGCGCCCGAGCCCGAGCGCGGCCACCGCCCGCTTGAACTCCTTCGACACGTCGGCGGCCGAGATGCGGGAGAGAGAGCCGGGCAAGCCAGCAGCCCCTCCCTCGCGAGCCACCGCCGTGGCCCTCCAGCCCTCGCCCCAGCGGCGCGCCAGCATCCAGTCGAGACTTGCTGCCAGGCGCCGATGACGTGGGAGGTCGAGCCGCACGGCGTTGTAAACTCGTTCGTCTTGCAGACCTCGCCCACCTCGGCGGCGCGCCGAGTCAGGCTCCAGAAGCGGTGGGCTGGCCCTCGCGACGCCAGCGGCGGGGCGAGGTCCACCGCCCTCAACCTGTGGATCTCGCCAGGGCGGCCGTAGATCTCGAACGGCAGCCGCGCCGCTGGGGCGGCCACGTAGGACATCTGCAGCAGCAACCAGTTGAGGATGAGGGAAGCGACTTCGATCGGGAGCGCCTGCCGACTCTTCGGCGGGCCAGGTTCTTCCAGCCCGCTGCCGCCTGCTTCGCCCTCGGGGGATGGAGCTGGCCGCGGCGGCTGAACTCCGACCGCGCCCAGGCGATGGCGGCGATGAGGCGGTTGGCGTAGGTGAGGTGCCTCCCGTCTTTGAACATCGCGTGAAGGCGCCCCACCGCCGCGGTCGCCGCTGGCCTGCGCTTCGCGCCCTGCAAGAGGCCCGTCGCCGCGGCCGCGGCGCCGGGGCCCTCCCAAGGCGCTCGGCGGCCCTGGAAGACCAGGGGGTCCAATCGCGGGGCTGCCGAGGTCGGCGTAGGCTGGGCCGGCGGCGAGCGGCCCCGCACCCCAGAGCGCCCGAGCATGCCTCAGGGCCATACTCGGGTGACGAGGGGCCGCCGATCCTCTCGGTGCCGTCGGAGGCGCGGCTGGAGAGTCCGAACCAAAACAGCGAC